CCCCAAAACCCCAAAACCCCAAAACCCCGCAGTTTATGTATTTTTTAAAATCTTAAACATAAAAATAAATTATTAAAGTTTCTCCATAAAACCATAAACTAATGCTTTTATTAACAATTCTCCTACTATCTCAAAAGATATACCATGAATTGAAAAACCAAATTATCAAAATCAGAATCAAATGGACAATGTGTTTTCAGGCTTCAGCTATAATTCTTAAAGCTCAGTGAATAATTAATTTTCTGTGGGACCTGGACCCTAGATTATATCTAACGAAAACTCATTTAACTACAATAATGGAGGCTATAACAAATCTTAGAACCAAAGAATAAAGGAACCTGATATAAGACAGTTAGACATGCTCCTGAATTCTAAACCGATTAATGTTCCATAGAAATATTAGCCTGTTTATTAAATACCTCAGCTACCACCATAAAATATATTCTAGCCTTTACAATAAATTTATAAACCACCTGAGTATATGCAAATGCCTTAAATTTATCAAGGCAGCAACTCTAGTAGCCCACTCCTCAGCTAAAACCAAGAAAGTAAAGACCTTTCATTCTTCGAAATTAAGTAAGCGTCTGAACACAGCGAAAAAGAGGAAATAAATTTTAGACCTTCAGTAAATGGGCCTATTATCTTCCCTTAAATTATCACTCCTTAGTAATAGAATGAGAATTTTAGCAATTTGTATCGATTTAATGCTCAAGGCGATTACTTTAATGACAATTAGTCAAATTAAAATGATGCTCAGAGATAAAGTAGTGCTCAAAATAATGGTCTATCAGATTAATCAACAGGAACTGGTACTGATCAAAATAATCCAGAGGAATAGCAGAATTCTGGTATGTCAAGATTTGCTAAATCTATGCTAAACCCCAAAATTTTTGATAATTAAAACTATAAGAAGAAAAAACATTAGGACAAGGAAAGATAATCCACTCAACCGTCGACGAATATTGGTTTGAATAAATCAATGCCTTCAAGTTTTTAAAGTATTCTATAAACTAACTCAAATCTAAGTTCAGAGGCCAGTAATTAAATAAGAACTTCTAAATATTAGATAGAGTAAGTCAAACCTAATATTTACAGTCAACTTTCAAATAATTTTGGCTAGTAAAATTTTACTTAAAAGAAGGAGGAGAGATATAAGAAGTAGTCATTGCAATAGATCAATAATCATTAAGGACAGCTATACAAGAATATTAGATCTTCTTATACATCTTGGGATAAAGTTACAAGAAGAGAATTAGTTGAGTTCGGTTTTACTCAGGATCTTGAGGTAATTAGAATTAGTCGAAATTTCAAGACAGCCATGGAATGGGCAATTGAAAAAGGTTTGATATCTCAGAAAAGAGTGTGCAGATTATGCAATTCTGTGATGAAAATATGCAGGAATACTCATCATAATGCTGATGGTCATGCTTATAGATGTTAGAATCCAATGTGCAAACAGAAATAATCACTAAGAATTGGAACACTTTTTAATTGTTCAAAACTCACTATTATGGAAATATTGAGACTCATTTTTCATTACTTTATAAGGAACTACAATGCCACCTAGGCTCATCTAGAAATGAGGGAAATGATTAATGACCGAATCAATCCTTATGGAGTTCCTGGCACGAAGTTCAAGCATGAGGATGATATTTATAGAATCAATTACAAAAGTGTCTTTACATTATTCAAGCTTGCCAGAACTTAAATTCATATTTGGACTTAAAATTTGTACAGAAGGACTAAACTAGGGAAATACGGTCGAGCAATCGAAATAGATGAGTCAGTATTCGCTCATCATACATAAGATGGCAAAAAGGAAAAAGTCTGGGTATTAGGATTTTATGAACGTGGGACCAAGGAAGCAAGGGCTATTCATGTCAAAGATCGAAGTGAGGAGACATTAACCCAGGTTATTCTTGAAAATGTTGAAGAAGGTGCTGAAATTTTCACAGACTTTTGGCGTGGCTATAATGGATTAAAAAATTACTATAGACACAGAGTAGTAAATAAAGCTATGAAAGGTTATGGCACTTCAGAATTCTAAACCACAAATAGGGTTGAAGGTCTTTGGGCAGCAATAAAAAGGTTCTTTTAAGTTTACTCTTGTTTCAATCACCCTTACTTGTAGTAATTTTTAGACGAGGCAATTTGGAGAAGAAAGTATAAGACATTTAAAGATAGAATAAATTTCCTACTGCAATTAAACACATACTATAACTTCAGAACAGAAGGTGAGAATTTATATGAGGAAACATATCTCAAATATGATTAAGCACTAAATTCTCGGAATCAAAATAGCATTATCTCTAAGTATGATGAGGTATACGAGGATCCAGAATAATTAAACAGGTTTATTGATGAGTAAATGATGAATCCCTAGCTTTTGGTCAAGACCTTGCTGGAGGATCAGAACTAGTATCTAAACTTTAAAGGATTAGGAGGCGAAAACAGTGTAAACCTAGGTGGATGCGACATGCTTGATATTGAGGAAATTGACGATGAAGAGTTTAATGGAGAAGATTACGATGCAGAAATTAATATTGATAATAATTTAGAATGAAGAGCAAATTAATTAATTGATTCCTGAATACAATCAAATTTAACACAACGGGGTTTTGGGGTTTTGGGG